GCCTGGGAATTTTATGCAAATAAGGAAGTGAGGCCCCCAGGAATTGCCTGTTATTAAGGTACAGACTGTATCAAATGCTGTGCTTAAATCACCTCACTGCCAAGTTCTCACTTAGCACAGCGTACCACTTGCTTTGGTCGCTTCCATGTCCTGCCCGTGGAGTGATGTTTGAGAGCTTTCCCTTCAGGCAGCGCCGTCAGAGAAAGCCATAGACAACAATTGCATATTTGAAAGGAAGAGAGAAAAGGCCTAGATACATTTCAATGGAAATATTTTTAAGACATTTCAAAAAGGAGTCTGAGAAATCATTACAAAGTTAAAAATGAGAGAATCTTAACTTTGATCTGATTTTGTTCTGTAAAGCAATTTGGTACATAATTTTTCAAGTGCTAAACCACGAATTCTAATGGGAGGACCTGAATGCTTTCATTTGCATCTTGGGACTTCTATTCTCCCCCTGCAAAGTTTAAAAAAAAATTACTAAGGTGATTTTTTTTCACAGGGAGATTAATGCATAAAGCATTTGCTGGTCAGCTTTCATAAAAACTCCAACAGTATAAAATAGCTGAGATTAAAAGCTAGATTTAAATCATGCGAGGGCCCAGTTAATATCAGCACCTAATTAAGAAATCTGTAAATTTGATTTGAGGGAGAAAAATTCTATCAAGGTGTGATTGGAATTTTCTTTTCCAATTGCTGTTGGGGATTTTTAAGGGGAATATATCCTACATGGACTTTGGTATTCACAAGACTAGTTCTCAAATTAAAATGGGGCTTCAAACCAGAGCACAGGGACAAACTAATTTACCTGAAGGATACCAAAGGAGCTTCTTACCTAAAAATAAATGTGATAAATTGAGCCTCACTGTTAGATTGTATTCTCCTTAGTTATTTAAACCTGAGATGCTTCAGAGTTCATATATATAAATGTTAGACTGCCATCCCCTTGCGGGTAGATAATGGGAATTGTTCTTTTTTTGTTACTAGTACCTGGCACGTGTTTCTTAGTGCATAATGGGTTCCCACTGAATGTTTATGAAATCCCAGAATTAATGCTGCTTTGTGGCCTGTCTTCTCCCCAGTAACCGGATTGATTAGCCAGGCAAGCACCAGGTAGGAAGCATTGTAGAGGCAGCCTGCAGGCTACATTTGGCCAGTGTGTAATCTTTAAAAATTGAGAAGCTTCAAGTTCACATAAAAACATGAATTCTGGATTCTTTTGAAACATCTGAAGTTGTGACACTATTTGGTCCAGGGCTGCATATGATGGCAGGTAGCCAAGGTCGCAGGAATGGATGCCCCATTAGACAGGCTTCCTTCAAAGCTCACCACCAGTGACAAACGTGATAGATTGGGCCCCTGTCCATTCTCAATTAGATGTCTGGATGGACTGAGTTTCTTTGCATATGACTCCAGGCTGACTTCTCTTTCTTATTTACCAGGCTTGTCCACAGGATAGGCCCTCAGCATTAGAAGAAATGATTTGGTCTGTATTTCTGTTGCTGTTGGATTTGAATGAGTTAATGATCTAAATGTGAGTTTAATTGTTTTCTCTGGCCCCGCAGAAAGAGAAGGAGAGACTCTTTAAGTACTAGCCTTGGAGTGAATTTGTAGTGTGCACATTCCTGCTACCTCGGTGTGGCTCCAGAGGGATTTGAGCAGGATCCAAGCACTAAATAACCCTAATGATATCGGGTAGAAGCTCATTGGGGAGCTGTTCAGGAGTTTGTCAGAGCATATTAAAATACAATACATTCACATAATCAAAAAAGGCACATCCGTCCATCTGTCTATACGTTCCTTTCTGATATTAAATTTGTCCAGGGACTTTTCAAAATTACATCACCTACCCATACCCGTTCTTTAGTGAATAAAAATGCGGAAAGGATGGAGAGCAAATCAGAATAATGCACATTGGTGAAAGTCCTATAATTGAAATCATCATTGCTTAAGACACCATTGCTTTAATCAGCCCTATCATAAATCAATGCCTTTCACAAGTGAAAGGTTTAAAATAAAGTGCTGTTAAACAAATTGGGCCTCTTAAAAGGCATGATGCAATTGGGAAGCTACTGAAAATGGATAAAAAAGTGCTTTCTGAAAGGATTCACTGGTTCTCCCATTTTATCTTCCACTTAATTTAAAAAAATATATTACCTGGTCCTTTCTTAGAAATTACATATTGGAGGTCTATAATGGCCAAGCCTTTAACCCATTAAAAAAATTTACTCCCAAGAACAGTTAATATTTGACGTTTAATTGCTTTTTCTTGTTGGAGAGGAAAATCTGTTTCTTTCCTTCCTTTCTCGATTGACTCTTCAACAAAATCACTTGTGAGCTATAAAGATGGAGAGGAGTTTATTGATTTTCAAAAACTCAAGTACACATCTGCATGCGTGGGATGCACGTGAGCGTTCATGTTTAATAGAATCCCCTGTGTGCCAGGAGCTGGGGCTACCCTGACAATCGCACTGCAGGGCAGGTGTCTCCATTTCTGCTTAGTAGATTAGGTGGCAGAGGTCTGGAAAGGTTAGGTTCTTGCATAAAAACACTCAGGTAGTACGCAAGGAAGGGCTTGTTGATGGAGCCAGGCCTATCATGACAATGGTCTCATCCCGAAGCCCTAAATCCTCTCACCCCTTTTAGCCAGCACCAGATTCTGGGAGTTAGCAGATAGAACCGTATCATCCACAAGTGGCCAAAGAGCCCGACTCTGACTTTGAGCCTTTTATGTGAGTACCCTATGGTGCCTGAGCTAGGAGAAATAGTCAAATCTGCCTTGTAAATCATGTCCACTTAGAAGAGCTCCTCATCAGAAAGTTTTGCATGGACGAGCAGGGAGGTGAGAAGTTTTCTTACTAGAGCAATGCCCGTGTGGAGTTCAGACAAGTTTTCAGGCCTCTTCAGGACTCTCTTCAAGAGGAGGAGTGGGCCAGTGGGACACTGGTGTGGAAAGAATGAGGAAAAGCCTCCATTTGGTCTCCTGGAGTTAGAGAATGTCCATTTCAGCACCCTCACTCTCTCCTCACACGTGTAGCAAATCCACCTCCAAGGCCAAAATGTTTTCTTGCTCTCTTTGTTGTCTTCCTTTTTTTTTTTCTCCCCTCTTCCCACAAAACCAGACATTATTTAGGTCTCTTGAAAAGCTGCACACGCCAACTGCTCCTCCACAGATCATCGCTTCGGGGCTCAGGTGCCTCCTGTGTCACACGCCCCCTGCCCTGCCCTGCCGCATGGTCGGATGTGGCTGTGTCTTCCGCTTACTCCACCTTGCAAGGGAATATTTGAATATTGGCCTCACCGGGTTCCTGTTCCCCCCGGAATGGTCCTATATGCACCATCGTCATGCCGGTGACAGGCAGTTGAATCTCTGGCCGTCCCGGGACTCCTGGCCATCTGGCAGAAACTCAAGAAACTGCTCTTTCCCTCTGGGACTCCGCTCAGCCAGAGAACTTTAGGGTGTGTGACGTGGGAGGCCACTTTTCCGTGAGGTAGAGGACAATACGTTCAGAAAGGGCTTGGAAGGAAACTGGCTGATGTTGAGGGGATTGAAATTTATGCCATTCACAGATAGTTTTATTTCTAGAGCTAGAAACACAAAATCACACTTGTAAATATTTTTTAAAAATTTAAAAAATTTTTCCTTTTTTTTCTTGCTTCCCTTTTTTCTTCCTTTTTCCCATTTTCATTTTTTAAATCCCTGGCTAATAGTAATTCCCCTTGTTCACCAAGGAGTGGAGAAGCTGACATTCTTGCCTCAGTTACTTTGGCAAAACCTGTTTGGAAACTCATATGCAGTGTGTATCAAGGGTCATACAAATTCAGGAAAACTCAGTAGTGATAAGGAAATGGGGTATACATTCCTAATGTTTACAAATATGTGGGGAAAATACATAATCATAATAACAGGTAACATTTGTTATCTATGGTGTGTGTAGCTTTTCAAGTGCCTTAATATATGACAGGCATTGTGCCAAATGTTTTATCTCATTTAATCGGTACATAGACTTTTTTTATTATATGTCCATTTTACAGATGAGAAAAGAGAGGTGAGTGAAGGTTAACTGATTTTTCTGAAGTCATGCCGCTGGTATGAGATTTCATCCCTGTCCTGGTGGGCTGCAGAGCTTACACTCTTAATTGATAATAACTGGTATTTCTTCGTGATATATGGTAACTGTGAGTATAAGACAAACATCAATAATCCCCCCAAAAAAACCCATACCAATAAACAAAACTCTGACAAATTCTACTCTTATAAAAAGCAGATGAAAAAATAAATAGGAAAGCTTAGACTAAGAGAAAATAGCCAAACTTAAAAAAGTTTACCTGCAACCAATTAATAATAAGATGACAGGTAGCTACTTGAAGAAACACTTAATGCTTTAAGCTCTTTTCTCTGGGTGGGAATTAGATACTATATATGAATAATCTTTTATAAAGAGACTAATTTTATTCTTCCAGTTTGGGGAGGTTGACGGAACAATCTTCCGTGTAGTTGCAAAGGACTTTGTCCAGATTTATCTTTGCCCAGATTTATTTGAGCATTGTTTTTTTTGAATGGGAGCCTAGACCATGTTCTTAACTTATTTTGTGTGAAGACCTCATCTGGATACTAATGAGGTCTCTCTCTCCAGAAAACACATGTATTAACATTTATACAACATTTTCCAGTATGTCTTTTTATTTTTATTGATGGAGCTTTGAAATTGTTTAAGATCATTGTTGGTTTGAAGATTTGAATTAAAATTTCCCTTTCTGTTTTGACTTGCAGAGTGTCCTTTCTGAGACACTTTGAGGGATGTCCTTTCTGTAATAGTTCAAACTTGATGCTGTTTCTTCAGTGATGTCTGCTATGGACAAAGTAAGTAAGTAGAATGAATAATTTAGGGTCAATGTTTTCCTTAATATGATGCCATGTTATTACTGACCCTTGAATTTAGATGCAGGGCTAACGACTGCCTTTTGGACTTTTCCATGTTAGGTTGAAAAATACCTAGTGGACATCACCATGAATCAAAGGCTGTGCCTTAGCATAATTGACTCTGTAACAGAGAGCAGAGCTCTGCAAGGTGAGTGGATGGCACTGAGTGTCTTTTCTTACCATACCTGCAGAAATGCACTTGGGAAACTGCATCTGTGCATAAGGCACAATGATAGATGGACGTGAAAAATAGGTGGATTGCGCCCTTGTATGGGAGTCAACAAGAACTCCGATGTGCTGAGCTTGGGAAGTGCTCGGGCAGCTTCCCAGCACTGTTGACTGGGCTAAAAGGCAGGACATCATTGCATTCTGTTTAATATTTTCATCATCAGGAACTTACTCCTTACCATTTTTGTTTTCTGAATATTTCAAAATAACTGAAAGTAGATTTTTAATGTCCCTCTTTTTTTTTGAGACAGAGTCTCAAGCTGTCATCCTGGGTATCATCCTGGGTAGAGTGCTGTGGCATCACAGCTCACAGCAACCTCAGACTCTGTGGGCTTAAGTGATTCTCTTGCCTCAGCCTCCCAGGTAGCTGGGACTACAGGCACCCACCACAATGCCTGGCTGTTTTTGTTGCTGTTGTTGTTGTTACAGTTGTCATTGTTGTTTTAGCAGGCCCGCAGGCCTGGGCCAGGTTCAAACCTGCCAGCCCCGGTGTATGTGGCCGGTGCCCTACCCACTGAGCTACAGGTGCTGCCCAATTTTAAATGTCTTACTACCAAAAATAAGTCAGTGAGATGATGGCTATGTTAATCAGTTTGATATAAGCGTTCCACATTGTATATCAAATCATCACATTGTACCCCATAAATGTATACAGTTTTGATTTTAATTAAAGATTAAATAAAAAAGAGAAAAATTCTTAGGTACAAATCCCAAAAGATTTTACATGCACCTTCTACCTCCTGCTCAGGATGGTGGCAAGGGGAAGACAGAAATGCCACATTTAGAGGTCCATAACTCCAGAAACTGCCCCTCAGCAGAGGTCTCTGCCTGTGTTACAGGAGACGACAAAAATCCGAGCGGTCATGCATCTGGCCAATTATGCAACGCTCTATCACAGGGGGAAATTCCTTCCTCACTCCAGCTGGTGAACAGTTATGCCCCGGAGCCCAGGACGGACATGCCTTGTAACTTTTTAACCTAGTTAGTGTAACTGCCAATATTATTCCTATTCATATAAATGTCTAATCCTTTCTTGAATCTTGCTAGACTATTTGCCTTAATAATATCCTGTGGCACTGAATTCCACAGGTAGATTATATGCTGCCTTAAAAAGCATTTCCTTTTTTTTTTGTTTGTTTTAAATTTGTTACCTTTTAATGTCACACAATGGTGCTTGTTCTTGCATTAAGTGGAGTAGGAAGGAGGCATTTCAAATGGACTGCTGATGTTTTTCAAGGCCTGTCTTCACTTTCTTCTTCGTGTGTTTTCTCTTTGGCACATGCAATCTTCGTTTGATGACATCTCATGCATGTGAATAGTCTCACACAATTTTTGGACACATAGTAGGCACTGAAAAAAGCTTTCTTCGACACTTAATGCCATTTATTGGATAAATATTTATTAAGGAGCTATTATGTGCAGAGACTGTTCTAATTTTGGGCAGACAACCCAGAATAAGACTGGGTTCTTGTTTGGAAGGATCTAATTTTCTAAAGAGGGAGCTAAGCTGTTAAATAGTGAACACGTATATGAATTAGATGGTTTCAGATAGTATTAAGTGTTTGGGGAAAATTAAAATAATGACCAAAGAGGATGGCAGGGACCACTTTGGACTGCATGGCCAGACAGTGGCTCTCTCGGTGGGGCAGTTGTGATTGGCCATCAGAATGACAGTCAAGGACTTCCATGTGAAATCTCCATGATAGTGAACTCCAGCTCCCAGGACAATGTCCAGTAGTAGCTGAGGCTCAATCATTATTTGTTGCATATATGAATGAATCAAACTTGAGAAGGAAGTCGAACAAATTACTCCCAGGATGAATGTTTCTCTAATTCCTGTGTCTATAACTCCAAATATTGTTGGAATAAAAAAGTCAGTGGGGCTAGTTAGTTAGATTATTATTTCAAGACTATACCACATTCCCAACTAATCAGCTAGGTGTACGACCTATGGCAAGTTACTTATGAAGGTCTGGGGATTAGGTTTGTGAACTCATTCTAGGAAAAATGCCATGTACCTCATTATCAAATATCGCTACAGTCACCTTTCAGCTACTCTCTGTGGGAAGCTATGCACTGGAGCCAGAGCCTAGTCCATCCTTCAAAGCAATTTTGGAATTCTTTTCCTGAAATGGCTATCAGAGCCATTGTCATGTTACCCTTGCTGTCCTGAATGTCATCTAAATGTCTTCCTTTCAATATTTCCTTTATCTTCTGGCAAAGAAAAAGGTCCCTGGGGGCCAGATCAGGTGAACAGGGAGAGTGTTACAATACAGTTATTTGTTTACTGGCTAAAAACTCCTCATAGACAGTGCTGTGTGAGCTGGTGCATTGTCATGATGCAAGAGCCATGAGTTGTTGACCCAGGTTTTCAGTTAGGATTATCCTATGGTTTCTCTCTCAATGTTTACTTGGTCTGCTTCTTACAGTCAGCCAATGATTTTGATGCACAACTTTACAAATTTTTGCAGTTTTCATCAGTTCTGTTCCTTACTGACCACCTCGACCTTTCTTCTTCAGTATACTTTCTCTCCCCTCAGAAAAATGTTTAATCCATTTGTACACTGCCATTTTCTTCATGGCATTATCTCTATAACCTTGGACTAATGTGTCCCTGATTTCACTTCCATTCTTGACAAGTTTAACAAGAAATTAAATTTTTCTTTTTGGAGACAGAGTCTCAAGCTGTTGCCCTGGGTAGAGTGCCATGGCTTCACAGCTCACAGCAACCTCAAACTGTTGGGCATAAGCAAGTCTCTTGCCTCAGCCTCCTAATACCTGGGACTACAGGTGCCCACCACAACACCAGGCAAAGACCTGTTTGTTGTTGTTGTGGTTGTCATTGTTGTTTTAGCTGGCCTCAACCGGGTTTGAACCCACCAGCCTCGGTGCATGTGGCCAGTGCCCTACCTGCTGAACTATGAGTGCCACCCAGAAATTCAGTTTTTGTTTATTGCTCTAAGTCAAGCTCTGACATTCTCATGGCAGCACAAAGAAACACACAACAATAATGAACACCACTTAACAAGATACCACCATGTGTCACCCCGAACACAGCTGTGAGGCACTGATACATCAAAGTTAGGAAACCTTACCAAGTTGTTTGTACACTGTTGCCAACATAAGCCACAGTGGCAAGTTCCCAAACTTACAGTCAGTCCTCATAATTGTTCTCATCCAAACTGTTTTCCTTTATAAAAATAGGATTCAATTTAGCTTCCTTCGTGGAGGTTGGAGGCTTTGAAGGTAAAGTATGTGGAAATTCTTTATGAACGGCCAGATGGTGTGGGGATGTTGGCTGTTCTCGTGGGAATCAGTTGTCAGCATTTGACACTCTGGTCTCTCATCCTTTCCTTTCTCCCTTGCCCATTTTCCTATTTCCTCCCATTCATATTTTGTCCCTGCCTCTGCCTAAAGCCCACCAGTAGCACCCACGGTGCTTGGGGCTCTGCCCCCGAGGTGGCTTAGCAGGGTAAATTTACCTTTCTGAAATCCTGGTCTACTTCATAAAGACTTTAGAAATGGAATCCAGTGGAGCCGTCGTGTGTTGATACAGTGGGCTGGATGTGGCTTTCCAATCTCGTGATTGTTTGCTTTTATTTTGTTTACTGCTTAGTCTTCTGGGTCAGGCTAAACAAACTTCTATATATAAAGACAGGTCTTTGCCTGAATTTCAGAGAGAATCTTCATCCACAAACCAAGACTTTGGTTGAAATAGCCTGGCCACCTGCCTTCAGCTTCTCTGTATTCCGGCGAGCAGCAAATACCATTCCCTCATGTCACCACTTGTTATTCTTTTTAATTGCCCCTTAATGTACTGTTTTTTTTCCCCCATTTAGGCAGTTGGAAGTAGAGGCATTTGCAGCCCTGCATAGTAATGGACTACAGGAGGCATTTCAAGGAATAAATTATTAGGATTGTTTACGTGCATGGTTCTAATTTATCGGCAAATTGCTTAGACCTCACTTTTATGATGCAGCTTCCAGTGAGGCTCCTTCTGGGTAAAAGTCTGCAACGAGAGAAGTTGCCTTGCCACCCCTCACCAGCACTTCCTCTGCGGGGCTCCTGCCCTTCCTCACCTCCCTGCTGGCTGCCCACACGCCCTGGTGGAACCGTCAGGCATTTTGCACCTTAACGTGAAGACATTTCATGGTCCTCCCCAGACCCGCCTGCACTAAAGGTGAGGTGCGCACAGGAACAGATCTTCCATGATATAATTTTAGACACTGTGGCAACTGGGAAAGGCAGCTATTTTTGGCTGTGGGGCTTTCTCCTTGACCTGAGGCGATACTGCCTCTCCCACTGCTAGTGTGTCCAGCCAGCCCTGCCCATGGTCCTTTCAACCACACGTTTGCCATTCCTGGGGCAGCTTCTTTGTCTCTTTGCAGGGCAGCGTGGGCTCATCTGCACTTCTGTGCATTTGCACCAGGGCCTGGGTCTGTCTGTGTGTGCCCACCTAGGCTTGTCCCAGGCAGACACTCAGGGTGGTGGTCCAGGCCACCCCTGAGGGCCAGCACAGATGGAATGGACTTTCTTCCACATAGGGGACAGAGAAACATTTCTGGCCCAGCCTGTGTGTACCCTTCAGCCTCCAAGCTTTATCAGCTGCTCAGTTCTGTGAGTCACTCCTTCTCGGAGCAGGATGAGCAGGGGCGTCTCCGGCCCGCAGGGTCCGAGCATTCCCACCTACACTGCCTCATTTGAAGCTCAGCCTCACAGAGATTTTTCTGACCACCCTGCTTGCTGTCTTCCCACTCAAGCTCCCAATGCAGCTGCTGTCTGCAGACCCCCTGTACTGCCCAGGGAAGTGAGATGGAGCTCCGGCAGATGAGCGGAACAGCCTCAAGAAGATCTGAGGGTGGCCAGAAATAACAGTGCTTTCCAGATGAGGGTAATGTTATAGCCAAGATCATCACTGGGGTGGGGTGGCTTGTTCTTAATTTTACAACCTAAAAAGTACACAGAAGACTTGAAGATCATTCAGGAAGGAGGAAGAAAGTGAGTAAAGAACAGGGAAATTGGAACAGTTTCTTTCTTTCTTTTTTTTTTTTTTTTTTAAAGGAATTGAGTTTCTTTATGCTGAAAGAAAGAAAACAGAGGCCCTTTACAGGGATGAAAAGAGCTCTGGCTGCATGGTGGATGGAAGCTGTTTCTTCTCCCTCTCCTCTGACCATAAAAAAGGGGAGAACTCTGGATGTGCAGAGAAAGGGAAGAGATAGATAGACAGATGGATAGACAGACCTGAGGGTATAAGCAGAGACTGACCAAAGAATTGAAAATAATGGTAAGATAAAATGGAGAGAAATTGGGCCTGGTGCAGTGGCTCATGCCTGTAATCCTAGCCCTCTGGGAGGCGGAGGCTGGTGGATTGCTTGAGCTCATGAGTTCGAGACCAGCCTGAGCAAGAGCGAGACCCTATGTCTACTAAAAATAGAAAAACTGAGGGAAGAGGATTGCTTGAGCCTAAGAGTTGGAGGTTGTTGTGAGCTATGATGCCATAACACTCTACCCAGCTTGAGATTGTCTCAAAAAAATAAAAAAGGGAGAGAAAGAGCAAGAGACGATGTTGCCTTCCCTTATCTGCTATTGAATTAAAGTTAGTAGATATTTACTGAGAACCAACTACCTGTCACCTAGTTATCTACTTCTGCGTGACAGATCACGCAGAAATTTATTAACATGGAATCACAACCATCACTTTATTATTATCTGTCATGGTTTTCAGTGTTGACTGGGATCAGCTGAGTGGTGATTCTTACGTGGGTTTTCATGAAGACAAGGATGAGGTCTTAGGGCTGCCATGGCTGGTGGCTGGCGCTATCTCTAAGGCTTCCTTGCCCACATGTCTGAAGGCTGATGCTGGCGGTTCCTGCAACCGCAGCTGAGAGTGTCGGCTGGAACAGCTCCACTCACTCGCTGCATGGGATCTGAGCTTCCCTCAGCATCTCACCTTTGGGCTCTGACACAGCCCCCCAGGACTCCAAAGGTGACTGTCCCAGGAGAACATGGTAGAAGCTGGGTCATACTTTTTGGTCCAGCCAAGTCACATACTGTGGTGGTCCACCTGTCACTAAGGTCAGCTCAGATTCAAGGGGAAGTTACACAGATGTCTCTGGATTTGAGGAGTGTTAAAAGACTTTTGGATGTGACTTCAAACTGCTGAGAGATCCAGGCATGACCTCAGCTGCTCCCTGCCTCTCAACCTCCAGGTGCCTCCAATACAGTAGGAGCAATAAAAGTTAATTAAGTATCCATGAAAAGTAGTGAAGTAGACAGTCACCAGGGAGTGAGGGACAGGAGCGTGGGTGCTGAGGGGCGCAAGGTGCACACTGGCACGCATGTAGGTCCCAGGTGGAGCTTTAGGAAGGCGCACGGCCACCTGTCAGGTACAGAGCCCTGAAGGCAGCTAGGACAGCGCGGCTAGCATCCTCCACCTTCAGAGTGGGTGTTCCCGCTGACTTTACTCAAGCCCATGTGTGTGTCTCAGCAACATCCTCTCTCATCACCTGTTCCCTCTTCCCTCACCTCACCCGACTCCCTCCTGTTCCCCTGCCCTGCTTGTTCCCACCACCCTCGCCATTTCTCAGGCAGACAAACTTCCCGCCGCCCTTCCTTGCCTGGTTCCTCTGGTGATTGCTTGAAAGATCTCGTGCGCGTTTTCCTCCTTTGTGGCTGTTGTCTGTCGCCTTCTGCAGTCATACTTTATATTCCATGTGACTCATGCCCTTCTTCTCTGCGCTGACTTGTCTTATCCTAGGAACTGGCTGCCCAGCCCAGCGCAGTGTCACAGGACCATGATGCCTGGCATCTCCACCACATCCAGCCTTGGCAACCCCCCAGTGAGGCTCGCTCCCGCCCAGCGACTGTCAGGTGGGGTTTGCCGTTCAGCCGCTCACCTTCCTTTGGTAAACATTTCCCACCTGGCATCTCCACTGGAATCCTTCTTCTCTTCATCTGGGCCTTTCCTCTCCACTCTGGGGACTCACTTTTAATCTCCATGTAGGTACAAGGCGATATTGGTCCACTATAGAAAATTTAGAACACATAGCAAAGCAAAAATGAAAAATATTGTAAATAGAAACATTGTTAATAACTTAATGTGAATGAATGCTTTTCATCTTTTTTCTCTATATTTATGGTTTTTATATATAACCCCCCCACCAGCATTTCCACTTAGATGGTCAGGGTTTTCCTCCACTGTTTCATGGGCCCATTTCTTTCTTTCTTTTTTTTTTTTTGCAGTTCGTGGCCAGGCCTGGGTTTGAACCCACCACATCTGGCATATGGGGCTGGCTCCTACTCCTTTGAGCCACAGGCACCGCCCCATAGAACCATTTCTGTGGAACTCTCGTCTCTGGCCCCAGATGATTGGAATAGAGATGGTATATCCAGTGCCAGCTGGACTGCTACTTGCTCTTTCCTTGGGGTTAAATCAGACAATGTCCAGAACTGGAGCTGGAGCACATTGACATGGTTGGAATTTGTACCTTGCAACTTAAAGCTTTACTAGGGAGGGTAGTTTGCAAGAGGTGAGCCGAGGGGCAGTGAGAAGCAGAGGAAGAGACAGCAGAGTTCTTTTTTTTAAGACAGAGTCTCACTATGTTCCCCTGGGTAGCGTACTGTGGCATCACAGCTCACAGCGACCTCGAACCCTTGGGCTTAAGCGATTCTCTTGCCTCAGCCTCCCAAGTAGCTGTGACTACAGGCTCCCACCACAATGCCTGGCTATTTTTTTGTTGCAGTTGTCATTGTTGTTTAGCTGGCCACGTTCAAATCTGCCACCCTCGGTGTATGTGGCTGGCGCCACAACCATGGAACTATGGGTGCCAAGCCACATACGTGGAGGGTGAGACAGCAGAGTTTTAAGAACAGAAAATCTTTATATCCTGGAACTAATTCCTGCAGGGAATTCTTGTCCGACAGCCAGGTAGCCTTTCCTCACATTGGTCTCTAATGCGGCAGCCTCTGTGGGGTTCTGACGTTGCCCTCTAACAATGCCAGTGCAGGATGACAGTTAGAATAGCACACTTTTTTCACTTAATAATGCATCATACCTTATCTCTATATCACCATTTATTCTCCTAGATTATAATTTTGATGAGTACACACTGACTCTTGTCTATATTCCAATATTTATGGGAGAAGTGCAATTTATGGGTGAAATTTGAGCTCTGGTGTTAAATAGTACTGAGTTCGAATGTCCGTCCTGGCTCTTGGTTGTTATGTGATTTGGGCAAGTTAGTTAAATACCCTGAGCCCCAGTCCCTTTGTCTGTAAAATAGGCACAACAGTAACTTGAAATAATACAATGAATCTTAGAGTTCCCAGGACGTTATCTGTCACCCAAGTTAGGTTTCAGCAGATGTCATCGGTTATTATTCGTCATTGCTTATATAGCAGTGCCTCTGAATTCGAAGGTTATAGACAGAACTGCAGTGAACATCCTTATAGGCAAATACTTGTGCGTGACTATTTTTTGAAATAAATGCCCAGAAGTTGCATTATTAGCTCAGAAATTGTCGGCATTAAACATATTGTTAAAATATGTCTCTGATGTTGCCATCCTCTTGACATAGACTTAGAGCATGTTACTTTCTGTGCCCGGGATGGGGTCTGTGTTCACCTTCCAACTAAATTAAAACGTGTTCACATCTGGCATTTGAGTTGGGGCTCCTTCAGGTGAATTTAATTAATTCACTGAGCTACTCGCTTACATGTCAGGTATAGATTAAGTTTACATAGACTATATTTATAGATTAGGTTTATATTTTGAGAGCTGACTTCAAAGTTGCTCATCATGGAGTGGGCTTGGCAGCTGTTGTAAGAAGGGTTCCAGATGCTTCTAAGGATGTCAGATATTGACTGAGGTTTACAATACTTCGAAATCTTTCCCCTCTAGAAATAGGGACGTTTGGAACATGAACATCTGTATCCTTTGACCTTCTTGAAATAACCTCCAATCTGCAGAGCTTTCTTTGGCTTCAAGGCTCAGGAAAATATCAGTATGAAATTTAGTGAGATGCTTCTTTGAGCCACCCACTGTGCTGGGCACTCTGGGCAAGACACCATACATGATCCTTGTCCTCAAAGAGCATCTTCTGTTGGGGAAGTGCATGTAGATGTGCAAATATTTAGAGAGAAAAGTTATATTTTCCAGAATGTTACTTGTGCACTTGTAAGGAAATCCCTGAATAAGGTGTTCTAAGGGCCCCCAGGGGATTTTTATTTTGTCTAAAATTATAGCATTTAGGAATTTGTTTCTTAGCTGCCAAAATGAACAAATAAAGATTTTAGGAAAAAATACAGATTGCTGTATTTGAAAAAAATAAAAGGATTTTTCTTCCTTGAAAAAATGGAAGGATTAGCTATGCTGAGCCCTCCCCATGGCAACAGTTAGGAACGGTTGACTATTTAGCCAGGGAAGAATTTCTCCTTCTTAACTGTGGTCTTCACCACTCCCTGCTGTATTCAGCTACACTGCTTGGTGTACTTCTGCTATCTGTGTGGGCCATGTGAGTTTAGGACCATGTCCCAGAGAAAGCGGAGACTGCAGGGTGAGCAGGGGGTTGGGGGTGGAGCCCTCGGGACAGGCAGAACAAAGGCAGACCAGGATGGCGAGGGAGGAGAACCCCTGGGAGAAGAAATAGACACAAAGAAGAGAAGTTTGCCAGCACCTGCTAATGAGCCCTGCTGTGCCAAAATGAGAATTGAGATTTGTCCCATAAATTGACTTGATAACAGTTAAGAGTGTCTGACAGTGAGTGTCCTGAGCCCGTGCTGGCAGCAGCAAGGCACATGGGGAGCATCTCCTC